GCCCCAAGCATAAGATAATCCATAGATATTCAATTTTGTGAAAACCTCTTAAAAATATGATATATTGTCCTAGAAATGGACCTCCCATTGGGCTCCACTTAGAAACAACTTTTACAAAGGGTTTGCTCTTTCTATAGAGCAACTCCGATACCAAAAATCATACAAAAGCTCTAGGGTAGGAAATTTGTGCCATTTTTTGCAGCCAAATTGCGAAATTGAGCAGAAATTTTCCAAATCAAAAGACTATGTCGATTATTTTTTCGTTGAATACTATGTCGATTATTCTAGAAATGAATCTAACATTCCTTCTCGTTTTGGGGAGAATGCATAAATTTTTTTTATCTCATTAACAGAGTTCCTAGAACTCTTCTGGGGAACCAAGCTCCATTTGAAAAGCTACATAACCAAAAACAGGAGTTTACAAAACTCTAAGTGTTTGGATGTCTCTGTTTTGCTAGCATCCACAACAATCATAGAAGCAAGTTTGATTCTATAGCTGAGAAAGGGGTGTTCATTTGATTTACACAGACATTAAAGACTGCAAGATTTATAATTGAGCCAGTCATAATATCTTTTTTTTTTGGTAATTGTCACAATACCTTCATTTCAAGGAATTTTCAATTTACCTGAGTTATTTTTTTTCAAAGAGCATGTATGTCACAACCACTTGTAAGACCCCTTATGTCCATCCATCAGAACCTCCATTATTTGACAACAATATCCCTTCCTACCACCCACACCAATCATAAAACCCTCCACGCGAACCAAATCTCTGCATCAATGAATCCCACCTTGCATATGATTTCGACACCCCTTGGTTCATCAAATGGATTAGATACGGATGATTCAAACTCTTCATCCCCACCCAACCACCCAATCTTCAATATCCACCAGAACTACTAGACCAGTAACCCTTCTCCAAAACTACCATTGCAACCTGCTTCAACAACTTCTTCCACTAGTCATTCTCGCATGCATCAGACTCCAGGTATCACTTACTCTCTCTATGTTTTGTTATCCATTATGAAAGTTTATGCCACTCTCACCAGCACTTCGTACTCAACATTTCCTCTCACAAGAACCATACACGTGAAAAGAAGCTCTCCATTCACTCCTCTACAATGATGCTATCGATGTAGAGTTACATGCTTGAGTCAAACCAAACTTGGGACATTGTTGAATTACCCATTGGAGCTAGAGAAATTGGGAACAAGTGGATTTTCATGCTCAAATTCAACCTTGATGGAAGCATTGATAGATACAAAGCAAAGATTATAGCTAAGGGCTACAACCAACATGAAGGGGTAGATTACCAATACAATTTTGCCATAGTTTTCAAGATGACCACCATCAGACTATTTCTTGCCCTTGCATGTACAATAATAGACATGAACAATTGCTTCTGACATGGTGATCTAGTGGAGGATGTGATATGAAACTGCCTCTTGGATATAAAGCCCTACAAGTACTTCAAACCTAGTAAGCCATCTAAAAAAATCTCTTTGTGGCCTTAAGCAAGCTTGCATGCAGTGGTTCTCTAAACTAGCAGACAAACTCCATTGTCAAGGCTATGTTTCCAGTAATGTGGATCATTCTCTTTTCTATAAGTCTAATAGCTTCACTTACACTTGTATCCTGGTATATCTGGATAACTTAGTTATTGGTAGAACTGATATTACTGCGATCACATTTCTCAAGGCCTTTCCCCATCAATAATTTAACATAAACCACTTAGGTGAATTAAAAATTCTCTAGGGCATTGAATTTGCCTGAGGCATCAAAGAAATTCTCATTTCTCATAAGAAATACACATTGAAGATACTAGATGAAGTTGATGTCTTATATGCTAAACTGAGCACACTAATGGACTACAAACTACATCTACCAGCTACCAATGATGATTCATTTCCCAATCCTACTGCTTATGGGCACGTTGTTTGAAACTAAAATATATCTAACTACAACAAGGCTAGACATAAGTTATGCTACCGAAAAGGCGAGTTGATACAAAAAGTCGTCGATGAATTAGACTAGGAGGCTTGTGTCTTTTCTTTCTAGCTACCTCTTCCCTTTAACTAAAACCCTTCGATGACTTGATGATCTACTACAGGTTATTGTATCTATCTTGGTAATTTCCTCGTCTCTTGTGTTGATATGATTTGAATCGGTTACTTTGTCTACTCCTGAGGCGGAGTACATGGCATTGGGAGAAGTTGTCTAGGAGGGAATATGGTTGAAGGGGTCGGTTAATGATATAGGTGTACTCCATGATCAAGCAGTGGTTTATTGTGAAAATTTGAGTGCAATATGCTTGGCCAAGGATCAAATCCATCATGAGAGGACTAAGCAAATCTTTTCTTGAGAACAAAGAAGAGGAATAAGGTGAAAAAGTGGCTCCGTCGACAATCTTGCTGGTATATATGTTCATGAATTTGGTTCCACATTGCAAGTTCCAATACAGTTTTGGATTTCCGGAATGTTTTGAATGGTTGAGGCCCTTAGAGGTATTGAGACAAAGGAGAGGATCGAGTACATATGAAGATTTGGAGGGAGGATTCAAGTTAAGGTGGAGATTTGTTGCTATGACATGAATCAAATTATCTAGCTCTCTCCTACTCGTGGACTAACTAACAAATTGGGTTAGTGAACCACGTAAATATGTGTGTTCTTTATTTTCTTGCATTTTTTATTATCTCGATCCGTTCTTAACATCTTGGAAAACCAAGAAACAAACAAAGATGCAACCGTGATCAGCTCACGTGACGTTCCTCTAGTGTGAACAACATACAACGATCATGGTCCGAATAGGAAGGATCTAGAGGCTCGAGAAGGTAGAGTGGAGGGCATACCAAATTGGGAATAAGAAGCTGGAAAAATGGCTAAGTGTGGAAACAGTATTAGGGTACCTACTTTGGAGGCTTGTAGCTTTATCTTGGAAGATAGCCGATGGGATTTTGGAGTTGGACATCAAATTATAAGTTCAATTAAAGATCGTAAAGGCACTGGGTGAGAAGATTGAAGCTTCCTGGACACCAAAACAGCATCCTAAAGATCGTATGGTGATCAAGAAAATACTCTATCATGTGGGTTAAAATTCCCTATAGGGTATCTAAGGATCGAGATAGAGTATTGGGATCAGAAGGACCCCTCGTCCTGACATCAAAATACCTAATCGCGTATTTGATGGGCCAGATAGGGTAATTGGCCTGACGGGTCAAAATTCCTTTTTCGTTTTGGATTTGTTATTTAGTGTTCACGTGTCGTTTTGCATTCGATTTTGGGTTATTTTATGACTCCAATATAAGGAGATGAGTTTTATTGTATGAAAAATCAATCAACATTCAACCAAGTTTTATCTATCAAAGAAATCGGCAGATTTTTTAGTCCAGTTTGAAATGTTGCACAAACTCTCCGTCGAGGATTCCGGAGTACTGTACAAGGCTCTTATCAATCATAAGATCACATATGTTCATGGCGAGCCACGACCATACCGATTCCCCTTTCCCACAGGTTCCGAGATTGTTTGATGGTTTCCGCATTGATATATCTTTACTTTTCCACGTTCTTGAAGAAAAAAACCTTGAAAATCCCAAAATTGGAGTGTTGCATATTCTGATTGTTGAGGGATATTTAACCCCTTGAACAGAGCCCAGTTCATACTCACGGGTGAGAAGAGAAGATCAGAAGTTTCCTGCAAGATCAAACAATGGAGGCTGAGTCAGAACAAGATAATATGTTCTATACTAGTTGCGTGGTCCAAAAGAGATTGATTTCTGTGATTTTTTATGGAGAGATCAAATCCATTTAATCAGTTCGATTGTCATAGCTAAGTTAGGGCTGGCTACACGGCAATATCCAAGCCCTTTATTATTGCAATTGTCGATGGAAGAGGCCTTTGTGTTTGTGACTGAACAAGTATCTTTGGAGTTCAAATTAGGGCTTATGTGGATCAGATTCAGTGTGATGGCGTGCCAGTTGGTGGATTCGAGCGCGAGACTTGGTGTAGATATTCTCTGGTGAAGATAGAAAACCCTAGATTGAAAGGTGATGTGGTTAGATCGATTTCAGAGAAGAATAGTGTCGAATTGTTGGTTTACGGAAATAATCAATAGAATAAATCATTTCTAAACACTAAAGCCCAAGGAATTCGTCTAATGATCAAATAGGCTTTGGACAAATCCCTTTTAACTATTTATCACAATACAACCAAACGAGTCCTTCTTCCTTCTCTGCTCTGATCCTATTATTTCGATTCCCCCTGCACACACAAAACTCTGACAGAAAACATAGACTATCTAAAGTTTGGATTAGTAAGAAGTGAAAGGAAAATTGACACAAGGAATTTTTACGTGGTTTCCGATACTGATGAATCATTATCGACTAGTCCACGGCCAAAGGAGTTCTGCATGAACCCTTTGGCGTCTCACTATGATGTTTGTTCTGATTTACACAATACATCAATTGATCTCTAGGTGACTCCATGTCACCGATCAGAATCCCCTTCAAGGTTTTACTCCTTGCAGAACCTTGATCTTGATATCTCCCTAACTCACGAGCTATCTCCCTAACAACCCTCTTTCTCTTTTTCAATTACAAATACTCTCTGTAGCTTAATCAAAAACTCCTGAGAAAGATTATTATTCACCCCAGTATTCTTGTCGACCGTTGAAGCTCTTATTTGAATGATCAAATCTCTTGATTGCCGCGTGTGATTTCAATATCAAGACTTCCCTTTTTGATTCTTGCTGCTTATATTCTTTCCACAATTTCTCGGTGCCATTGATCAAGCTTCTTCCAACAGTGTCTATCATGCTTACTGAAGTGGTACTTGGTGAACCATGGCACAAGGATCGCAAAGCACTACGAAGTAGCAGAACCAACAAGGTCATCTTAAGGCATCAAGAAAATAAACGTGCTTTGAAACCATTATCTTTAGAAGAGGTTGGTGAAGATAGGAGGCAACTTCAACAAGCTTATGAGGAGGAGTAGAAGGTCGAAGAAGCAAGAACACTTCCTTATTAGAAGGAAATTGAAGAAGTTACTGTAGAGGAAAGTTGTGAAGAGCAATTGAATGAGGAAGTTGTAATAGAAGCTCTAGTTGAGGAGGCGATCTAATATATTGCTGATGCATTAGTTTTTATTGCACCGAATTTTGAGGAAGGCAACAAGGAAAAAAAATTCCATGGAAGAGATGAGGCCACAGAACTTATGGATCATTTGCCAATTATTCATGAATATGATCACCACGATTTTGTTGTTGGATAAAAGGCGCCATATGAGGAGGTACGACTTAGAGAGAGGCGACGACTTCAACAGTTTGTGGAGAAGCTTTGCATTCAAGGTGCATGCTCAAGCTCATGGGTGTTGAAGTCATACAAGGGAGTTTATATGCGGCCACAAGATTTGAGGATAAATCTTTTTATAGAGAGAGGTAATGATGCAACCAGGATCACCTCACGTGACATCCCTTTAGTTCAAACAACATACAAATATCGTGGTCTGAATAGGAAGGCTCTAGAGGCTAGAGAAGGTAAAGTGGAGGGCATACCAAATGGGGAAGAAGAAGCTGGAAAAATGGCAAAGTGTGGAAACAGTGTCAGGGTACCTACTTTGGAGGCTTGTATCTTCATCTTGAAATATATCAGATGGGAATTTGGATTTGAACATCAAATTATAAGTTCAATTAAAGATCATGAATGCGTTGGGTGAGAAGATTGAAGCTTCCTGGACACGAAACGAGCATCCTAAAGATCGTATGTTTATTAGAAAAAAATACCATATATGCTAGGTGAAAATCCCCTATAGGGTATTTGAGGCTCAAGATAGGATATTGGGATCAGAAGGACACTCGTTCGTGACATCAAAATACCAGATCGGGTATTTGATGGGGCGGATAGGGCATTTGGCCTGACGGGTTAAACTTCATTTTTCGTTTTGGACTTGTTATTTAGTGTTTTAAGTGTCGTTTTGCATTCGTTTTTAGGGTTATTTAGTGACTCCTATATGAGGAGATGACTTTTATTGTATGAAAAATCAACCAACATTCAACCAAGTTTTATCTATCAAAGAAATCGACAGATTTCTGAGTTCAAGTTTGAACTGTTGTACAAACTCTCCGTCGAGGATTCCGGAGGATTGTGCAAGGCTCTTATCAAATCAGACGATCACATCTGGTCATGGCAAGCGACAACTATACTGATTGACCTTTCCCTTAGATTCGTCATTTTTGACGGTTTCTGAATCCCTTGAAGTGTTGTGTATTCTGATTGTTGAGCAAGTTCGAATCCCTTGAACCGAATCATATCAAACAACCATCTCACATTCCTCTTGTGAAGTTGAATACTAGGCTCTTCCATTTCAACTTGTGAAGTTCAATATGTCCTCTATCTTCTTTATAACTTTAATATTCTGCATTCACAGCCTGTTGTGAAAACCTACATCAATGAAAATCCTACCTTTCATGAGCCCATAAAGCACATTGAACTTGAATGTTACTGTCATAATAGAAGCGTGCAATCGATAATCCAAATCAACACAAATGAACAAATATTTAACGTGGTTCACTAACACGATTTGTGTTAGCTAATCCACGTCAGAGGAAAACAATTTTCACTAATTTGAGGAGAGTACAGGTTACAAACCAAATTTCGGAATAGACAAACCAAACAAACTAACCCGACTGACCTTACTACAGACTAGGGTGATGAAGAGTATTTATAGAAATCTTCTCCTAATCCCAAACAGAAAACCAAACACCTTTTCCAAACCTACAAGGAAAAGGCCAAAACAAAGACCAAACACAAACCCAAACAAAATAGGCACAAAACACAAAACAAACCCAAATCAAATTCAAGTCATATTCTAACAATCTCCACCTTGACTTGAATTCTCTCCCAAATGCCAGATGTACCAGACGCAACCATAGTTGCCAGATGTAGCCAGACACCTCCAAATTAGTTGTACCAGAATTCCCCTGCCTCCAAATGCCCCTAAGGGCGGTCAACAACTCAAACCATTTGTCAAGTCCAACCCATGTTGAGACTTGCCATTCAGAACCAGTTTGGTGCACTTATCACCAACAGAACATGTCAAAACAGAACCTTGTAGATTATACAAGGCACCAACCTTGACACCTTTTAGAATAACCTTAGAACCTTTGTAGACAGACAACACTCCACCTTCACCTTTGAAACTGAAACCCTTGTCGTCCAGTAGACTCAAAGATATCAGATTCTTAGTAATCTCTGGAATATGCATAATATTGTTCAAGGTGCGAATAGAACCATCATATGTCCTCATCCTGATGGAGCCTCTTCCAACAATCTTACAAAGAGCACCATTGGCCATAGAAACATGTCCTCCATCTATATGCTCATAAGTTGAAAAACAATCCCTACTTGGACACATATGATAATCAGCTGCAGTATCTAAATACCACACATCCTGATTATGTACATGTTCATTCACTGCTAAGGCTAAACCATCTTCAGAATCAGAGTTAGTTTCTTCCTCCACACCAGCAGATGATTCCTTCTTCTCCTGATATTTCTTTAGCTTAGGACAATCAAATTTCCAATGCCCTTTCTCCTTACAGTAATGACATATATCATCCTTCAACCCAACAGAATTCGAATTTATATTCGCCTTCCTATTACCAGATTGTTGTCTCCTACTACTCGTAGCAGCCAACCCAGATGTCTGATTTTTCGACCCTGAATCAGACGCCTTATGTCGAACCTCTCTAGTGTTTAGATCAGATCTGACATCTTCCAAAGACAAACTATCTTTCCCAGCAATAAAAGAATCAAAAAAATTCTCATATGACTGTGGCAAAGATACCAACAGAATTAAGGCAGCATCCTCATCGTCTACTTTAACATCAATATTCCGCAGATCTAACAAGATAGTATTGAGTTGATCTAGATGATTCCTGAGAGATGTAACTTCCTCCATACGCAAACTGAACAGACGTTGCTTCATATGAAACTTGTTGGTTAAAGACTTTGTCATGTATAGACTTTCAAGCTTCAACCACAAACTCGCGGCAGTCTTCTCAGCAGCAATCTCAGTGACGATGTCATCAACCAAACAAAGCAAGATTGTAGAGTGAGCTTTCTCCTCCAAAGTAATCCACTCTTCTTCATCTATGCTTTTCTTCTTCAATTTTTCAGACAACGGAGCCCACAAACCTTGTTGTTTCAACAGTGCTTGCATCTTGATCTACGACAAACTGAAACTATTTCTTCCGATAAACTTCTCAATCTTCATACTGATAGCAGCCATTCTTACTATCAAACAAACTCCAACCAAACTTCTCACCAAACGAGCGAGACCAAAACACAACTACCCAAAGTCAACTTCAAAGCAATTCCTCCACCGAACCAAGCTAAAGAATTGAAAGCTACCTCCACAAAGCAAAACTTCAGTCCATCGCCAAATTCCCAAAACCGCAACCAAAGGCTCTGATACCATTGTCAGAACGAGAAGCGTGCAATCGATAATCCAAATCAACCCAAACGAACAAAAATTTAACGTGGCTCACTAACACAATGTGTGCTAGCTCATCAACAAAAGAGGAGAACAAATTTCACTAATTTGATGAGAGTACATGTTACAAACCAAATTCCGGAACAGACAAACCAATCAAACTAACCTGACTGACCTTACTACAGACAAGGGTGATGAAGAGTATTTATAGAACTCTTCTCCTAATCCCAAACAGAAAATCAAACACCTTTTCCAAACCTACAAGGAAAAGGCCAAAACAAAGCCAAACACAACCCAAACAAAATAAGGCTGATAGACCATTAATTGCATATGTTTTTACCCCTATTCTTGTGCCGTTTGAGATGTTGATTCTCGTGTTTTAAGCCGATTTCACACTAGGTTGTGTGTTTATGTCATATTTCAAGGCTTAGCGTTGGCATCGAGGCGAAGAAACGAGTTTCGGGTCGAAAGGAGCACGTTTGGATTGAAGTGCGATGGAGGAGCAAAATACCCGGCCATGGGCAGAAATACCCGGCCGCGTATTAATTGGAGCAGACCGGGGAAAACCTGTTCTAGGCGTTTGAGAAGCAGAAGGGGGCCCGGGCATTAATCATATATCCTCGGTCGGGTATTCTTGACCCTAACCGGGGATTAACCCCCTGTCCCGGATGGCGAGTTTTAACAATCCCCGGTCGCCACCTAAAATACCCGACCAGGTATTCTGACCGGGGATCGCGAATGCAGGCCGTTAAAAGCCTGTTTTGTGCGTTTCTGCAAGGGGGGAGCTGGGTTTTGGATCCCAAACACCCAAGGGACGAACCAAAGAGAGATAGGGCGATTTGAGGGAATTCTTGGAGTGGAATTGGAGGATTTCTTTGCCTTGGAAGCTCGAGGAACAAGCCCGGACTTGAAGACTGATCATCTGAAGATTCTTACTGCAGTCTCTCTCTTCTCTATGGAGTAACTTCCCTTCACTTAGGTTTTGAGGAACCTAGCTATGTTTGTTTGATTGGATGATTGTATGAGTACTCCTACTTGATAATCTTGAGTTCATATTCAATCTATGCACGTTTTCATGATTCAATTCTGCTTTAGTCGAGATTATTGATTTTGCTTTGATCCTATGAGAGCGAATACTTGATTAGGTCAATAGAGCACCATAGATTGATAGTATTGGATCGATTGCTTTAGTCGAGGGTTGATTCACTGCTTTGTATCGATTGAGAACCTCATTCGATAGAGGGAGTCTAGTTCAGAACGCCTTGATCGGTTGTTCTAGAGAAGGATAAGTCCCTCTAGGCAATAGACTCAAGAGGGCCTTGATCCTTTAGTCGAGATTCAAGGTCTAGTCAAGGATTCTCCGCATTTGAATGAAAGTGAAACAAGTTAGAAATCATCAATCATTAATCTGGCTAGTGGCTAGGGGGAATCATACCTAAGTGAGTTCCCAACCTGTAATTAGATTAACTTTAACTGTAGTTTGCTAGAGTAGTTTTAGTTCTTCCATCTTAATCTGGTTTGCTATATAATGAACTGAAGTTGAGTAATAGTAACTCTAGAGACCCGTGGATTCGATATTTATTACTTGAGCCACTATACTGCAGTCCCTTTCATTGGTTACACTTGGCCATTGTTAGGAGTTGTGTCATGGCGAGTCAAAGGCCAAAACACAAAACAAACCAAAATCAAATTCAAGTCATATTCTAACAGTCACTTGGTTCGTGGGAAGCTTTATTCTAAGATCATCAAACTTCTCCATGTCTCCGTGCATAAGTTGACAAACCTCTTCACCAAGCCTTTGCCTCCTTCTCCAATCTCCTCTCCAAGCTTGGTGTCCAAAATTTGTGCCCACCAGCTTCCGGGGGGAAGGAGGGGGGGGGGGGGGGATCGTGAAAAATTTGTATTTGAAACCCATAGGAATGGCACTAGGCACTAAGGTTGGAAGGTTAGATGAAAGTAGATTTTCACGCTTTGTAACCACATGATCTGACTACTTCAGCTGAAAGGTTAGATGAAAGTATATTTTCATTATGGAAAACTCAAGCGTTGTTACCAATCACATTTCAGTATCGACAGAAGCTTCAGAAAACAAATGTATTTAAAATTTGAATTTTACGTAAAATAAAAAATGTGAGTAAAATCAAAATCGTAAAATGTAATCGTAAAATCGTAGGCTTTTAAGGTCCATATAGAAAGAAGAAGGAATAATATTAATAAGGAAACTCATGAATAACACAAACACACATAACACTTACAATGATAATTTCTCAAGGTTAATGTCAAGAGGTGGTGAATCGATGATGACTAATACGTAGATGTGAATTGATGATGGTCGATGGTGGTTAGTGTGAGAGAACTAGATAATGTTGGTGGAGGAGATGGAAAAGAGGTGTAGTTTTACAAATTCTGAAGAAAATAAGTAAAATTGACTCAAAGATTTAAATCTATAAAATCGTTGTAGTAAAGGCCGTAATGCCAGAGGAATCATTACCACAAGGAATAGAGGGTGAGGAATCTTACAATTTTATGATTCAAATCATGAATATTGTAGGATTTTAAGGTTTATAGAATTATAGTGAAATCAGAATCGAAATAGGTAATTAAAATCGTAAACTCGAAGGACTATAGAATTTAAATCACGATTTTGACTGCTCTGACCTTAGCTATATCTTGGGATCCCCAAGGTGATTTATCATGTATAGATCAATAACTGATGCCAAAATGGTAGGTTAATCTGTAGACTTTATGCCTAACCCCAACCACATACGAAAAGGAAAAGGTGGTTTCAACAAGCTGCATATTTTTGTAGAGGAATTTTACAATGCTATATAGCATTGGTGCTATAGGTTTTTGCCTTTATGGTACAACTTGAAATTGTACCTTGAACGTTATGGTACAATTTTAGATTGTACCTATACATTTTGTACAAATTCTTTTATGGTACAACTTAAACTTGTACCTTATGTGATGGTACAACTTCAAGTTGTAAAGTTGTACCATAACATAATGATACAAATTCCTTTATGGTACAACCTAAACTTATACATTTAATGTTATGGTACAACTTCAAGTTGTACATTAAAGCACCAATACTATATAGCATAGTAGAAGTGCTCATTTTTGTAATCTACAAATCGGTTGAAGAGTACAAGTTGTCATCATATATATAATTGTCATCATACCATCTTATAATTATGAAACAAAGAGGTCTTTAACTATGATTATAACCACCATCATTATGTGCAATCTGTTCTGTTCTGTGGAATGATTACAATCAATTTCTAATCCGGCCTAGTAGCTAGCCTGGCATTATGCTAGCTAATTGTGCTAAGTGGGTGCTTAATAAATTTTATAACTAAAATCATGAGCCCTGATTGTAGGCCTCTAATACTGAAATTAATACCAAAATTAACAGTCAGATCTGATGTACTAATCAGGATCTTGAACTTTGTATATTATTATAGGTATTTAATGGAACAGTTGGTTGTCTGGTTTTACAGATGTATATGCCTATCTATCTGGAATGCTCAACCACCAGCATACTCCCTTTTTTCAGACATGGGCTCATTGTGTTTTCCCCATCGTCTTTTGTTACTTTAAAAGGTAATACCAATTCATTACTTATTGTTGAGAAATATACAACCAGGATTGAAATTTGCCAATTTACTATACAAAACAGCCTTGAAAAATGAACCAATTCATCACTTGAACTCTACACAAAGAATAATCTTTGGTATTTATAACGTATTGTCAATATTGATGAATGTAAAGGTTTGAACATTAGAACTCCCTGAAAAAAAGTCGAATATGTCATGAACAAATCCATTGCAATAACTCATGTTTTCGAGAGAAAGAGAGAGACAAATGTAAATCCTATGTTATTTTCATACAAACTAATTCATCTGGAGAAATGATCATCTAGACCAAACATTCATTTTTCTAATGTATCTCATCTAGGTAAGTGAACTATTTCCATTCATTGATATATACGTTCTAACAAAATAGGTTGTTTAAATTTGACTCAGAAAAATGATTGATGTTATTATTCCACGTATATTATCATTAGCTAACTCATTGAGGTAATCTATTTTCTCTTGGATATATCCAATCATCATCACCAATCTCAAGTGAGATTGAAAGAATCAATGACATAAGACATTTAATGTGGTTGAATATGGGAGATATTTTCAGATGTGCATGTTTCTAACTCTAGCTAATGGCCTAGTGAATGAAATATGCACAAAATTTAACATGATTGGATGTATGCATGCTTCAATAGGGCCACATCAAGGGAAAGCCCCACTAATAACAACTTCCAATTCCATGTATAAGTTCTTTCAAATAAATACATATACACATGGATAATTAGCTTGAGATTTTTTTGAACAACTGAAAACCCAATCTTGTTGATTAACATTGTATACATGGATAAAAGCTAGATACCCATTGGCTACAGAAGATATGAACTGGAAGGGGCAACTTGTGGGAGAGAAAGAGACAGTACAAATAATGGATATATTGGGCTATGAAGAACCCATTTTGTTTGGGTTAATTATTAGGTTTTGGAAAGGGAAACCCACCACCCACCAAAGCAAGAGCCAAAGAGGAATCTGGCCAATAATATGGTTGAGAGAGGAGTTGGAATCCACTTAAAAGGGGTGGAAAGTAAAGAAGCCCCACATGAATTTTGGAATGTAGAAGATATTGACATTCTTCTAAAATTTAAAAAACATATAGGACCAAGATTCATACAAAAGAAGAACATATAGGTCCAAGACCTAGCTTTGATCCAATGTGTGTAAATATATGAACTAAATTTAGATGGGTGTATTTATGAGTAACTATAACACAGTTTGTATCGTGGAAAGATGGACTCCACTAGGCTATATCTTTCCAACACTCATCATCGGGGGTTCTTTAGCCTAAAATATAAAAATATGGCTAGTTTGATTTGATGTAGTTAATGGGGTATGTTATTTTGTGACAAGAAATTAATTGTAATTATATTCTTATAAGGAATCCTTAATCTCCATGATATTTGGTTTAACTACGTTAACAGGTAAATTAACGTTTGCACACGCCATGAACCGTACATCCAGTGGCGGATTCAGGGAGTGGCCAACCCGGGCCTCGGCCCAGCTCTCGTTTGGATTCGGAGTTAGTATAGTCCTTATG